CAGGCTTGCGATTGTCCATATGTACTTTGGATTGGTTCATTCAGAGATTGGGGAGTCCATATGTACTTTGGATTGGTTCATTCAGAGATTGGTGAGTCCATGTGTACATTGGATTGGTTCGTTCAGAGATTGGGGAGTCCATATGTACTTTGGATTGGTTCTTTCAGAGATTGGTGAGTCCATATGTACTTTGGATTGGTTCTTTCAGAGATTGGGGAGTCCATATTTACATTGGATTGGTTCTTTCAGAGATTGGGGAGTCCATATGTACTTTGGTTTGGTTCTTTCAGAGATTGGTGAGTCCATATGTACATTGGATTGGTTCGTTCAGAGATTGGGGAGTCCATATGTACTTTGGATTGGTTCGTTTAGAGATTGGTGAGTCCATATGTACTTTGGATTGGTTCGTTCAGAGATTGGTGAGTCCATATGTACTTTGGATTGGTTCGTTCAGAGATTGGGGAGTGATAGCTGGTGACACCGTTGTCACATCTGACTGACTTCTGTCCTGGCTGGACACCCACGGCCTCAGCCAAGGTTTCCTAGTTTTACCTGAGCTTTGGGGTGAGACGTGTTAAGGTAGACCCCTTGATTACCTGTAGGTGAGTTCTTCGTTGTTAGAGAAGGCACCTCGACTGTACATAATTGTATATTATCTCTTCGTTTGCTTTTCTACATAACTATTGCTACATTAATGTGTGTTTAGCCCCCTTATGGATATATGTATTAACAAATTTGTTTAAAATCTATTATAAAAGCGGAATAATATTTGTATTCTGTTTGAATTATCTTCATCGAATGTTTCATTGCAAATATTAATGTGGGATTTTACTTGGTATGTGGGACACATCCCAGTATTGTCAACTTCTAGAACACCAAAGAATGGAGGAACTACTGTTGACACTGATGTTAGCAGAACACCAAAGAAGAGAGGAATGGAGGAACTACTGTCGACAATGGACCTGATGTTAGCAGAACACCAAAGAAGAGAAGAATAGAGGAACTACTGTCGACAATAAACCTGATGTTAGCAGAACACCAAAGAAGAGAAGAATGGAGGAACTACTGTCGACAATAAACCTGATGTTAGCAGAACACCAAAGAAGAGAAGAATGGAGGAACTACTGTCGACAGTGGACCTGATGTTAGCAGAACACCAAAGAAGACAAGAATGGAGGAACTACTGTCGATAATGGACCTGATGTTAGCAGAACACCAAAGAAGACAAGAATGGAGGAACTACTGTCGACAATGGGCCTGATGTTAGCAGAACACCAAAGAAGAATGCCTACAGCTATTCTAGGGAAAGTAAATACATTTATTTCCACCAATTAGAGGAAATTAGCTTAGGAAATTGAAAGGAGCAATTAGCTAATTAGGTTAACAGGGTGACTCGTGGATCTGTGACGTCGGATCATTTTTCCAGCGCTACGTCACCAAGGCGGCCATATCACGTGTGACGACCTTCAAACTCTATACTATCGTCACAGATCATATATGCCGACCTAAAATATCATACAAACACAACACATTCATGTGTAACATGCAAAAAGACTACAATGAATTGATGTTGTTGTTGTGTCCAATGAAGAGCCTCAGATGTCTCGATACATCTCTATCACAGCAATGTCCTCTATCTTGGGTGTGTAAAGCTGCTGTTCTGGGTCCATGTCAATTTTCTGTTGTTGTCGTCGTGTCCAATGAAGAGCCTCAGATGTCTCGATACATCTCTATCACAGCAATGTCCTCTATCTTGGATGTGTAAAGCTGCTGCTCTGGGTCCATGTCAATTTTCTGTTGTTGTCGTGTCCAAAGAAGAGCCTCAGATGTCTCCATGTATCTCTATCACAGCAGTCGCAATGTCCTCTATCTTGGGTGTATAAAGCTGCTGTTCTGGGTCCATGTCAATTTTCTGTTGTTGTCGTGTCCAATGAAGAGCCTCAGATGTCTCGATACATCTCTATCACAGCAATGTCCTCTATCTTGGGTGTGTAAAGCTGCTGCTCTGGGTCCATGTCAATTTTCTGTTGTTGTCGTGTCCAAAGAAGAGCCTCAGATGTCTCCATGTATCTCTATCACAGCAGTTGCAATGTCCACTATCTCGGGTGTGTAAAGCTGCTGTTCTGGGTCCATGTCAATTTTCTGCTGTTGTTGTCGTGTACAACAAAGAGCCTCAGATGTCTCCATACATCTCTATCACAGCAGTCGCAATGTTCTCTATCTTGGGTGTGTAAAGCTGCTGTTCTGGGTCCTGGATAGGAAGATAAAGAAGATTGGCTCCACACATGACCAGAACCTTCTCAAGAGAAATAAAAGAAGAAAATATAAAAAGATCAATCAAAACATCTTTTAAAAAAATACCGTGACTAATAGGAAAAAGGGGCTTAATAGCGAAGAGAGGGTATTTATATATAAATGTCTATTAAATAAAAATTAAAAAAAGAACATAAAAAAATCTCCATTTAAAAAATAATCTTTCATCTTATAAACACCCCGCGCTCGCCCATTATTTATATATTTTTGGGCGACAAAACAAAGAGAGATGATGCCATTGTCACCGTTCCCCAGAAAGGCAAAAAACACACACAAAGGTGCAAGTGGGTAAAAATACCATCCGAAACCTTTCTCTCCCTCTTTATTCTTGTGGCTCCTCTTCCTAAAAAAGGCAACAAATAAAGATTGCTAAGTGGAACGAATGCTTCGCAGAAGATGCTGGCAGAAAGAATGGATCCTTTAAGGAAAAAAAACGTCCTGGAAGCGGAAAACCTTGGGGAAATGGAACTATCGTAAAGAAGCTAGATGGCAATGACCTGAAATGGAAATAAAGAATGGAAAAAGAAGGGAATGATAATCATTATACAGCAGGAAGCTTTTTTTTAATCAGTGATTGGGAAATAACGTTGGGTAGGGTAAATTGGTTGGGATAACGTATGACTTGGTGGGGATAACGTGGGTTTGATAGGGATAACGTAGGACCAGGTAGGGATAACGTAGGACTAGGTAGGGATAACGTAGGGTTGGGTAGGATAACGTAGGACTAGGTAGGGATAACGTAAGGTTGGGTAGGATAACGTAGGACTAGGTAGGGATAACGTAGGACTAGGTTGAGATAACGTAGGACTAGGTAGGGATAACGTAGGAATAGGTTGAGATAACGTAGGGTTGGGTAGGATAACGTAGGACTAGGTAGGGATAACGTAGGACTAGGTAGGGATAACGTAGGACTAGGTAGGGATAACGTAGGACTAGGTAGGGATAACGTAGGGTTGGGTAGGGATAACATAGGACTAGGTAGGGATAACGTAAGACTAGGTAGGGATAACGTAGGAATAGGTTGAGATAACGTAGGGTTGGGTAGGATAACGTAGGACTAGGTAGGGATAACGTAGAGTATATTAGTAGGGATAACGTAGTACTAGGTAGGGATAACGTAGGACTAGGTAGGGATAACGTAGGGTAAATCAGGGAGTTATGTAGGGTTAGGGAGGATCCCACGCAGCCCACGGCCGTCCTTGCCAAAGGCCGTGTCATTGAACTATTCCAAGTCCTTTCGCCCTGGATCAAAGCTGAGTCCTTGGGCTCATTCCATCCGGTGTCTGTGGGAGATTTGCATACCGAGGATTCCTAGTCTGCGGGGTTCAAACGGAAGCCCAGTTTTACCACCCGTTATTTACCGCATCATATTCCTATGGGATCACAGACCACAATGGTCTTCTTACTTTAATTTGTTTCTTTTCCCTTAATAACCTTTCTGCAAATTATCTTCCATGATTCTCATTATATCGTTGAACCATCTTCACATATCTTCCTAAGCTTCTGTTTATACTAAATGGTCAGTCAGTCTGGTACCTTGGTACCATTTCTCCAGTCGTTGATTTTGTCTGAATTGTAATAAGAGCTGTGGTCGCTTAGTGATGGTGTTGAATCTGCGCTACGAATTTAGAGTTAATACAATACACTCTCATGGACAAAACTTAAGGAAGTTATACCTTCTAGCATGTATATCGGGATTCAGACAATAACTCTAAAAGATATTTGATACAAGTGACATTTATTGAAGACACACAAGATAACCAAGTGTTAACAAAATTGCCTCTGTCTCCTTAAAAAAACGGCGATTTCAAAAACTTTCCACTTGTTTTACTTTTGTCCATGAGTGTACTTCACTTGATATATTCGAGAGCTTTACAAAAATTTTCAGGATAATAAATACCCAACAGGGTGATTCTACAAAGTTCTGTCTCAATCACTAACTAATACCTAACTATATATTTATAATTAGGTAGATTTCGGACTTCCCGAAGAACACAGCAACTATCAGCCAATCAAATTGCTCAGTCGATTCCCACGACAATTCCTGTGACCAATCAGTATGCACATGACGACACCTTTGTTTGGTGGAAGACGTGCTCATCAGAAGGTGATGAAGCTCTTACTCAAGTCCCAGGCACGATTCCCACCAGGTGGATTCCTTTTTTTTTTTTTTTTTTATCCTTCTCAGTTACTGGAGCCAATGATAATCAGGAAGGAAGAATGCCAATTTATTGATCGCTAGTCAATACCTGCTGTTTGAGATTTCTTCACCTTTTTTCTCAAAGAGCTTTAAAATTACCACAATAACTTTTACATATGCACATGTATTTACATATTTACGAATATATATGACACACATTTATTTTATTTTTAAGCTTTCAAAGAGTTTGTTTTCTCAAAACGTCTAAGACATGTTTCCTTTGTTGAAGGAAATGTTATATCTCAGTTGTTGGATTTATCTCACAACATAGGTATACATGTTTTTTTTTCTAAATGTATGGAGCTTAGACTGTTACTACTAAAAGTTCAAAATGAAAATTGGGATATTAAGAGTTGAATTTTGGAATTTTGACTATTGATGAAATATTATTGAATTCATTGTTGAAATATACTAAGTTTTAATTGTAAAACGATATTTGTAATACTATCCCGCATGTGTTTCTTTTCAACGAAAATTCAAAATTTATTTCAAGGAGAAATTCGGACTAGTGGACATGGCATCTGCCCGGTAAGCGGAACAATGTGGGTTCGATTCCCATCCCTGGACACTTTTATTTTTACGTTTATCATTACTCTTTACAATTCACCCTTTCATACCTCATCCAAAAGGTTAGAAATAATCGTTATTTCTCCTTGAAATAAATTTTGATTTTTCGTTAAAAAGAAACACATGCGGGATAGTATTTCAAATGTCGTTTTACAATCACAAGCCGCATTATATTGTATTACACTAGGTTAATATTAAAAAAAAACACGAAATCGTGAGATAAAGGATTTAAGATTTTATTATTTTGCTGAGCTTTCGAAAATTTCTGTCCTTCCACAGAAGAGAAAAATTGAGAACGTATAAGATGAATTGTTTATATACATATCTGCATATTTACACATATTCGTTTTTTCTCCTGTAGAAGTGCAGAAATACTCGAAAGCTCGTCTAAATAATAAACCTTTAAAAGAAACCTTTCGACTCACGATTTCGTGTTTTTCTTCTCTAAATGATTAAATAACCCATGATATAAACTAGGTTAGATGATCATATGAGTTTAACGAACCATTTGTAATTAAGAATTGAAATTATTCAACTAAAATTCTTTCAAACACAGAGCGCAACGTCTTAGTGACCCTACTGCGACCAGAGAAATATAAATTTAGGGGCACGGTTCATCAAGGTTAGCTAGGTAGAGATATCGTAGTTTGGTACTGGATGTATTGCTTGGATTGCTTAATTGCCACGGTGACGTGTGCAGTATTCCAAACAGGATAAAAGTCGTTTTAAAAAAGTAGAAAGTGACATAAAGGCCACACTAATGAAGCGCGACAAAAAGTACTAAAAAATGTCGTTTAGCGTCTTCCAATTACACCTAGAGGCTACCGACTCCAGATTTGCATACGTGGTGAAGGAGTTGTTTCGTTTTATCTGGCAACACGGATTTATTAGGGCATTGTGTTGACAATGTTTGAAATCCTAGTTGGCCGTGTTTGCTAGAGAAATTCTTGTCTTGATTACTGGAGCAACGCCATCTTGGCTGGTGTCATTTAATAACATTTTATATCAAAATTCCGTCTTTACAAGACTGAAAATGACACCTGTAGCTGAAAGCCCATCAGGATGTCCTCAGATTGAACATGCCCAACCATCATAACACAGATTCTATCAATCTCAACACTCCATACGCTACAAACCTTCGTGCCAACCAGATCTCCAGAGATTGGTAGAGTTGCATATAGTTCCCCCATTTTTACATATCTCCCTCTCTCTATATATAAATGGAAGTCGATATTTTTGTCCACCGTGATTGGCCAATTCCGATGCAGTTTCCTTTATGACGTAACACATTTTTCTGATAATGTTTATGCACATGCACATTAAAATGTACAGTTTGGGTATTGAAAAATAACTAATTTGCATAATTTGAAAATATGTAAATGATTTGAAAAAGATATATTAGGAATTTATCCTATTTTAAAAATCATTATTGCTACTCCTACAACAACTACTAACTATTGATATTATTATCTAATAATGATAATTAACATTTGTTAAAAACAATATTCATTGGGCAAATATTCACTCGGGAATAACCTGGGCAAAGCCGGTTCATTCGACAAGTTTGTAAAATAAATGATGATAATAATGATAATTTCGTTGTTTTTACGGAACAAGAGTGAAAGAATCTCTATTCACAAATGAAACAAATTTGATTGGAGATGGAGAGATAGCAAAAGGCACAATTTAAATCCAAATAAGTAATGGCATCGCTGGGAACATTGGTACCATTCTCAAACAAGAGTGTAACCCATTCATCGCCTTTTGCTCTGATGATTATGACAAGGATGCTATCTAAATTTCATATGAAGTTATGGATGAATGATTTTCAGATTAAGATTCTGTTCTGGTCCAGAGCTGCACCATATCTCAAAGTACGTAGACACCGCACAAGTCGTGTAAATCCAGTTTCACGACAGGAATCCTTGTTCCAATATCAGGTAAAATCATTTTTATAATACACTGCGGCCTGTGATTGTAAAACGACACTTGAAGTTACACCGCATGAGTTTCTTTTCAACGAAAAATCAAAATTTTATTTCAAAGTGAAATATTGACTATTTCTAACCTTTTTGGATGAGGTATGAAAGGGTGAATTATGAAGAGTAATGATGAACGGAAAAATAAAAGTGTCCAGGGATGGAATCGAACCCACAATGTTCCGCTTACCGGGATTTTTATTAGCGATCGAACGTTGTGACCCACTGTACGTATTACATCCCAAACACGATGCGAAGCCAGTCATCTCTGTCTTAAGCTTGATGTACCATTTCGGAGACCGTTAAGTCAGTGAGTTCCTTTAATTGGTCCACGTGTCGGTGGGCGTCCAGGTATGTGTCGCCCAGACGTCGTTCCGGTCAGAATGGTGTACTCCATTCCCTGCGCGATGCGACCATCAAAGAATGCTCCAGTTAAAGGATCAGTTTCCAGTACGCCTAACAAAAGCCAGTTAGTCTCCCGTGGCGTTCTTGGCTGTTCCTCAAGGTCGGTTCTTGTCATCTTTTTAATTGTACGTCACACTGTAGGTACGTCTTTCCAAGGTCTTGTGTACACATCCATCCCAAGGTCAATTCCTTATTCTTACCTTGGCCTTTCTGTGACGTAATACACTGTTAATCCTATCCTATCATTCTCGAATTAAACGAATTCACAAACAATTCCGTATACTGGAAATATGCTACCATATCAGCATAATGCGTACGGACACTCATGGGCAAAACATAAGGAAGTGGAAAGTCTTTGCCATCGCCAGACGTCTGTTTTGTTTTAAAAAAGGCGGGGAAAACAAAAAGGCTTAGCCAGAGAAATGTCCTTTTTACCTTTTTCCATAAACGTTTCACTAGTTTTAGAATAAAAACTAAAAATAAAAGAGTATTTAATTTATATTAAAATATACCATACATACATTAATATTATCCGTGTGAAAAATAGAATAAAACAAAACCAAAAGATTTAATTAAAAAAAGGCGGGAAAACAAAAAGGCTTTAAATAAAATGGCAGCAGACGAGGACAGGTTAAATTGACACGATCATCTGGTAAGCAATTAGTTGTCATTTCGGCTGTGTGTCATTAGCGGACCGTTTACCATATCATCATCATTATTGTCATCATCATGGTCGCCTCGGGGCAGACGAAAGTAAAAAAGTAAAATGGCCGCCGCTGTTGGAAGTAAATATCCATCCAACCGATGTCTTCACTCACTTTTACCATACGATAGATTCACCTGTACTTACTGATATGGTTTCTATAAATGTTGAATATTTAAAAATTTCATTTTGTAAAAATAGCATTTTCTCATAATTATATATCTTTAATTTTCGTTTTACAATCATCAAGCCGCGTTATATTGTATTTTAAATATATCTTTATATTTAGAAAATATTTATATATGTTGTTAATAATATTGTTTTTATTTTATATTCTGATTTTTATTTTTATAATAATTTTTGCTTGCACAAATTTCCCCCACACCTACTTTGTATTTTTAAAATTATTTCAACTGTGATATTATAACACTATGCGGCGCTGAGTTTGTGTAACAAAAATGTAATGCCTTGATAAAGGTTGGCGTTCAGCCAATCGAAATATTGGCAAATAAATATTTTATTCAATCCAATATATGCCTTTTTATTATCTAATATTGTTTTTATTTTTAAAATCTATTTTCTAGAACAACTCTGTGTAAAGTCGGGCATCAGTTGGCGCCGCTTTGAGATATTATAAATCCATTGTTGTTGTCTTTTAGTGTTACATCATTATATTTGGTTAGTAGCTCGTAAAACCATTTTCTCTCTCTATTTATATCTATTTATTCCTATATTTATCATTATATAATCCTTTTTATTCATATTTATATTTATTCTGTAATTAACCCTATATAATCTTATATGGACATTGTAATAAATCAGTTTCAATTTCAATCTCAATTTCTCTCTCTTTGTTGGCACAAATATTTTTTGTGAAATCAATGGCGATCTATGGATACGCTCCAGGAGCCTGGGTTACCTATATGTTAATAGAATTAAAGAAAAACTTGAGAAAAAGATATAACAAATATATGACCAATCATAGT